ATCCTCTGTGGCTGTCATGGCAGTTTTTTATTATTACACATTCAAAGCATTCTTTGCACATGTGAATGCAAGGCATTCACAACTTGCTATTTGTGTGTGTGTACGTGTGATTTAGCTTCATGTGTTTTCAAATGCTCCAGAATTGGCTGCCCTAAAGCCTGACATCAATACCTGTCTGCATTCAGACCTCTTGGTCTCTAAAAAACATACTTTGTATTCTGGTCTGTCCATTGGGTCCCCACCACCACCAAAAGAAGAACATTAGTGAATTCCTCGTCCAGATATCTATGTACAATAGGATAAGTGTACAGAAGGAGGACAAATTTGGGTGAATGGTGTGCATTTTTCAAAGAATGCATATTAGCTTTGAAGGACTAGATGGCCCATGTCCTGTATCTTGCTAGAGAGAGAGGGGGAAAAATGACTTCTCCAATGTATTCTCTATTTCTTTAATAAATCCTATTAAAAATTCTTCATGCTGGTGTGTGAGAGGTCATCAAGAAACAAGGAGCTATAGCAATTTAAGGATTGGGAGAAGCAGATGAAAATAGTTAAAATCAATTTAGCTGAGCTATGCCACGAATCCACCTTGTAACCTTCTCAGACACACTGTTGTGTTCTTTAAGTCTTTTGGGTGGTAAATGTTAGAAAGTACTGTAATGTTTCAAACTTATCTGGGTGCTTCCTTTAGCAATTAGCTATTTAGAGTTGGAAAGAGGAAAAGGAAACATAATGCAAATTAATTTTATTTATTTATTTTTTAAATTGAGTTTCTTGGTACATTTTAGGTATACAGTACAGTTACATTCATTATTGGGATCTTGTACCTTTACATGACAGGCCTCAGTTCTCATTTTTTCCCCTTGTCCCTGCCCTCCCTTCACCCTCTCCTCCCTTTCCTACTCACAAACACATCACTGGTCATTCGAGAGATGCAGATGAAAACAACGCTGAGATTCCACCTCACCCCACAAAGAATGGCTGCTATCAAGAAATCAACCAATAACAAATGTTGGTGGGGTTGTGGGGAGAAAGGAGCCCTTCTCCATTGTTGGTGGGAGTGCAGACTGGTGCAACCACTATGGAAATCAATATGGAGATACTTCAAAGAGCTGCAACTAGAGGTTCCATTTGACCCTTCCATCCCTCTGTTGGTTATCTTTCCAAAAGAATTAAAAGAATCATACCACAGACATATATGGACACCTATGTTTATAGTGGCACAGTTTGTAATAGCTAAACTTGGAAACAGTCCATTTACCCATCAGTTGGAAGCTGGATAAAGAAGACGTGTTTTTTCTATAAAACGGAATACTACTCAGCCATAAAGAATAAGAAATTAGATTCATTCATAGGTAAATGGATACATATTGAGGATATACTCCTAAATGAAATAATTAAGTCACACATGTGTAAATACCAAATAGTTTCTCTGGTGTGAAAAACTAAAATAGTACAAATTAATTTTATTTTTAACAAACAGGGGAAATTATATATAATGAATTCAATATAATGAATAATTAAGGCATGGTAACCTGTAAAGTTCTGCCTAATGGAAAAACAATTAAAAATATTGAATTTTTCCAGATAATGCAACCTTCATAAGACTGGGTGTCATAAGTGTTCAATCTATGACATATACTTAAATTTAGTGAGATGGGAGTGAGTGGTAAGATAATTAATAAATTCTTCTGCAGACATTCTAATGAACTAGCTAGAACATTATGATGTCCGTTGCAATATTCTGGGTTTTCACTGTTACACACCTGTTCTAGAATATACCATAAAGGGATCAGAACAAGATATACATTAAGAATGAAGTAAACTCTGAGACTTCGATATCTATTCCACATGTCCAAACTGCTGTCCAGACTTCTGGACCAAGTGACTGTCAGTTTGTTTCTTCCAGATGTCTGTGTGTTACATTTGTTAAAATGTAAATTGAAGATGTTTCTTTCATTGTCAAGAATGTCTTGAATTCATAAAAGTTATCATTTCTCTTTACAAGAAAGGGATTTTTTTTAAAGTAAATCCTCCTTTTTTTCAAAGAAAAGATTTGAAACATAGATACACAGATAAATTTAGGTGGGGAATAGATCATTTCAAATTGACATGAACTGTCAACAACTAAAGTACCTCAAGGTGTACAAGTTTAAATATTTTTCTATATGTGCATTGTATGTTCTACTCTTGTTCCCCCCTTTTCTTCTTTTCATTTTTCCTCTCTTCAGTTTCCCTCCTTTCCTTCCTTCTTTTTTCTTGTAATTCCACTCATGCCTTTCTTTCTATGCTCCATTATTTCAATTCATTTTTTCCTTTTTTCTTTGTTCCTTCTTTTTGTCTTGTCTTCATTTTTATTTTTTTCTTTCCTTCTTCATATCTCTGTCCTTTTGATTTTTCTTTCTACATTTTCTTGTTTCTTTTCCTTCTTTGCTTCATTTCTTCCTTATCTTCTGTCATTTCTGCTTTTGTTCTTGCTTTCTTCTCTTCCTTTCTTTTCTTCTTTCTTTTTTCTTCCTTTTCTTTTTCTCTTCTGACTTAGTTACTTTCTGGTAGCTGACACACAGTATCTGACATCTACAAATGAAAGGAGGAACGTTTCACAATGCTTCTCAGTTTGTAGGGTTATCATTCCATAATCTGCTGACTCCAAGAAAAGATGGCATGGCAGAAGAAAAGTACTTTTATGGCACGGAAGCAAGAAACAGAAAGAGATCGGGGGTGGAGGAGGTATATAGGTACTTCGGGGTCACACTGCTAGTCACCCATCTCCTTCAACCAGAATTCTCCTCTAATATCACCTTTAGTGATAACCTAACTCATCAAATTACTAATCTACTGGTAAGTATCAAATTCATATCATTTAATCATCTCCAAAGCTCCAGTTATGAGCACATGCAGAGTTAGAGGTACATCTAGATAAAAATCATAATATCTTCCTTTCACTTTTTTCTTGCATCTGACAATTTCATCCTTTCCATTATTGTTTGTTTGTTTGTTTATTATTAATTTTATTGGTACATTTTAGGTATACTACATAATGACTTTCATCTTTGGAAATTTGCACCTTTACATAACACATCTCGATTCTTATTTTTTCCCATTTCCCTTCCCTCCCTTCAACCCCTCCACCCCTCACAACTTACAAAAACTTCATCTCTACTTTTTCCTTTTCTCATATTTATTCCATTGTATTTCCTTCTTTCCTTTCCCTATTATCATCTTTTCTGTCCTATCACATCGCTTCTCCCTTCACACTATCTTTTCATTTTATTGTTTTTTATTCTTTCCTCGATTTTTATTCTTTCCATTTAGCCATTCTTTGATCTTTGCTCTCCCTCTCTATTTTCACTTCTACTTTCCTTCTTTATTTCTAAAGGCGTTATTAAGCAGGCATTAGCATTAACTTGTGTAACTCACAAGTATGACTTGATAAAGACTCTAACATATAGCTGGGGATTTAGCTCAGTGGTTCTGGCCACTGCTTCACAAGCACAAGGACCTGAGTTCAATCCCCGGTACTAAAAAAAAAAAAAAAGACTCTAACATATAAACACTTTGATTCAATACAATTACATTGACATTAAAATATTCATATGAGGCATTCTACTACATTCATAAAATATAATGAGACAAAAAGAATTTATTGTTAGTTTGAATAGGGCTAAGAAAGACTATAGGCCAAACATATATGAAATGAAGTATAATTAATGAGATATGAACAACTGTCTGTCATGGGGCAGACAGGACAGAAAAGGCAGAGGATTCTACTAGAACATTGGATATTTGGGGAGCTCTACATTTTAGAATGAATTTCAAAGATTGTTGGTAAAAGCTGAACTGAAAAGAACAATGGAATTACATGAGAAAAAGAAAAAAGCTGGAAACAAAGTCTTTGTAGATATGGAGGGATGGAGGGGTTGAAGGGAGGGCAGGGAAATGGTGGAAAAGTAAGAACCAAGATGGTTTATGTAAAGGCGCAAATTTCCAACGATGAATGTCATTCTATTGTATACCTAAAATGTACCAATAAAATTAATTTTAAAAAAAGATAACGAGGTCAGGTTTTGAAGGGCCTTGCAGTATAAATCCAAATTTTATATTGTGTCTTTAGCAGAATAGGTGTGGCATTAATAAGCCTACATTTTTAAATATTGTTCTAGAAACCAGGTAGAGTAAAATGGTGAAGAAATGACAGGATGAAAATTGGCCATTGCGGTCACCATGGGCAAAGACAACCTCAGAATGAGTTTAGTGCAATATTTTTTGCAAATGTACAGTTGTAAATATGCTGGTTAACTTTTTTCAACTCTGCCGTACACTATGTGTAGCTTAGTAAGCATGGACATATTTTAATAAAACTTTATGAATACTGAAATTGGAATTTTATATCCTTTTGCATGTTACAAAATGCACAGTCACAACCATGAAGATTATACATGTATCCATCACTCGCTAAAATTTTCCTTACCCATTTGTTAACCCTCTCTCTTACCTCTCTCCAATCCCACCACATCCTCTTACACAGGAAGACACTGATAGATTTTGCAGCTACTAGTATTTTATATAAATTGCATCATAACATGCAAACATCTGTCTGTTTCTTTGATTTAGTACAATTTCTTCTGATTCATTCATAGTGTTGTACATATCACTCCTCAGTTATTTTACATTACTGAGTGGAATTCCATTACTGGTTTGTAGCACAAATTACATTTCCATTCACCAGCTAATAGTTGTTTAAGTATTTCTAGCTTTGTGTATAAAAGCATGGCTGCTTTGGAAACGTGTGTCAGGACTTATACTTTTTGCCTCTCTTTCTCTTAAGAAAAGAAATATTTATATAGGTTAATATTCCTACTAGTGGTGAATGAAAGTTCCATTACAGATATGACAGCTTTATGTACCTATTTATTATTCAGTTTTGCTTTTTAAAATTGTATGTAAGCTACTGGATGCTTATTGGCATTTAATTGTGGTTTTAATTCACATGTTCTCAGCTCTGACGGCCTGGAGTGGCGTCCCCTTTACCCAAAAAGAGCTGGACAACAGAAGGGGTCCTTGGCTTACAAATGAATTCCCTTCCAGAAGAACTTTTGTAAGTTGAGATTCATTAATTGTCAGACAGAGTGAGAATTATACACCTTTGACGCAAATATATAATATATATTGCTTTGTGCTTTCCAGAAGTCCCCTCCACATCACTGGTGCTTTTCCTCTTTCTTCCACATATCCTGGGCTCTGATTGAACGCTATTCTACTGTACATGACTCGGTTGCCCTGTACAGTAAGCGCACAGCAACGCAACAGTGACAATGTCCAGAACACATGTGAGCTACTTCTGTAATTCATGCATATCTATGAATGGAGGTCTGTTTATACCTATAAAAGCTAGCAAATGAACTGTTCATAAATTGGAGACTTACTAGTTAACTGAGACTGTGGAATTAACATTCAGGAGAAAAGTTCCTTCTGGAATTAAGACTTTCTGACCATTAATAAACAATCAAATTTATTTCTGGTTTTTGGAGATTCGATGAACATGATTAAAGTTTAATTGTCCAAGCACTTAATATTTATGAATTTGTAATATTTTAAAAATGATCACTGCACTTTAGAATATGTCAGTATTTAGCACTTCTTTCTAGCCCATTTCTTTCCATGATTTCTCTTCTGTTCTTTGATGCAGAAGTTAATGAATATTGATTTAAGAGATTTTGAGAATTTTATTCTGAGCCTTGGAAATTTTAATATAACACAGTAAGAATCAATGGAAAAACTTTTTATTAGTAAAACTGTAACAGGCATATTGGTAGGAAAAATATCAAGATTTCATTTTGTATTAAGCAGTTTTTCAAATGAACACATGATTTAAGATTCAAAAATAAAAATATAAAAAGCAAGTAGAATATTTTTTCACTGGCCTTGATATTCAAGTGTTTGAAATATATCTATTATTAGAAAGAATGCAAGTCTACTTATTTAGAAAAAGCACTTCACTATTGTTCTAATCATATGTAAGTGGAAAATGAAGCAAAGTTGAGTTAGCGAAGGTCAGTTGAAAATATATTATTCGAGGGTTTGTCAGAAAATAGAGATGAAAACTACCGTAAAATCTTTAGATCCTTTTGCTGATAGGGTACATTCAATCAGTTATAGTCATTGAATTTCCACAGTAAAATACAAACTTTGGCAAATATAAACTAGAACTAGTTAAATGTCTCGTGACTTCTTTCACCTGTCCAGGTTATAAATGTCTTAGATTGTAAAGTGAAGGGGATCATTTTTTTTTATTATTCATAGACACTTTCTTTTTCACTTTTGAACAGTTCTAAATTAACCAAAATATGGGCCAGGGATTTAGCTCAGTGTTTCCACCACCTGCTTTGCAAGCACAAGGTCCTCAGTTCAATCCCTGGTACAACAACAACAACAACAACAAAAAAAAAAAAAAAAAAAAAAAAAAAAAAAAAAAAAAAAAAGAAGAAGAAAAAGAAAAAGTAAATTAACCAAAATGTGTAACTATGATATAAAAAAACTATTTATAGGAACCATTTCAGAATGCATAGTCCAAGCGATGCTCTAACAACTATGAATAGCACTGATTTACTATGAAATAATTTCCCTGCTTATAAAAAACAGTAGTTACAATAAAAAATCAAGATTGATACAATGCTTCTATCTCACACTAAGACTCTAATAAACTTTCTCACTTGTCTTGGTGATGTCTCCTATAGCAAAAAATTCAACACAGAATCAGGGTTACATTTACTATTCATTTGTGTTTGCAATAATTCCTTACTCTCAGTTTGACTTTTGTGAACGCAACACTTTTCAAGATCATTAGACAGATTTTTATAGAATATTCCTCCATTAAGGAATATCTGAGGCTTTATTATAATTCTATTCAGGCTCTGCCTCATTGGCAGAAGTATCACAGAGCTGAGGCTGTGTCCTCACTGTCCTAACAGGGAGCACACAATTTCAATTTGTACCATTAATGATGATACTCACTTTGACCACTTCATTAAGGAGTTTTCCCAGGTTATGCACTAGGAAGGCATTATTTCCTTTTTGTAATTAAGAGACATTTTGAGAGTAAGTTATTTGAAACTATTAATATTCCATTCTGCAACAAACTTTGCAATGATCATTTAATTTATTTATATTGCTATAGAACCACAGTCTCCTATTGTATTTAGGAAGTTGTAACCCCTTATTGTCATTCACGTTGATGTTCAAATTATATCAGATTTTACAGAAAAAGCTCATTATACTTGGTTATGTATCTTTTTGTCCAATCTCTATCACTTTTCAATGAATATTTAGGTTTTGAAAGTACAGTACATAAGTTTTCTTGTATACTTTGTGTTCCTTGGCCCTGTAATCAACCATTTTTACAAAATACCTTTTTGTTTCTTTAATTGAAGAATAATAGTTAAAAATAAAGATATTACACTAGGTAGTCTAAGTGCTATTACATGAAAACTTTATTCACATACACATGTACAAACATATATTTACACACATATAACACAAGTGAGTGTACATAAATATGTGCAGATGATTATGCTTGATATATATGTATAATCTTTACATATAAAACCATATATGGATATAAAATCATTTATGATGCAGAAAGGCAGAAGATCTGGGCTTAGTTTGCAATCTTCAAGGTCGTTGGAAGAAAAGACAAAAGGTGCATCTTATGGAGCCTTATGCATGAGAGAGCTCATCTAGCGTCCTCTAACATCCTAGTAAGAGGAGTCATAAGGATAGAGAAAGGTTTTAAAGAAAATCCAAAGAAATCAGGTTTCTAGTTGCTTAAGAAAGAGTAATTAATCACAAGGAAGGTAGAGGTATCATTCAGTTGTGTCAAGGATATTTCAAAAGCTAGATTCCCCAATGATAGGGCACACTTCATGGAAAAGCACAGTTAAATCATCTGCTATGCACAAGGAGTGAGATGCTGGCTTCCAGAAGGACAATCAATGCAATGTTCAGATATCTTTTTCTCTATTCCTTCCTTGTCTATACTCCCTCCAGAATAGTGGAGGGAGAAATATATTCCAGAGAGTTATGAGAAGATGAGAAAAAAAGCTAGAGAAAATCCAGTTACAATTTCTTCTAATGACAGACTGGATCCTGTAGCAACCCAAAATATAGGAGGAAATGCTGATTCTTCTAAGATGGGACTCTCTGTTGTTGGAAGTGAGGCTGCATTTGCATCGCAATATGACTCTAGGAAATTCTGTTGCTGAAGAGGTAGCAAAGTTCATGGAGCTTACAGGAGTCTGTCCAGAAGCAATGAAGAACCATGCTTAGAAAACAAAATTGGTTTTCAGGGAATGATGGGTGAAATGATTGAAGTATTTGTGATAATTTCCAATCATACCATTGCACCGTTCATATATGTTCTAGAGAACAAGAACTAGATACAAATTCCATCTCCACCCCTTATTTCACTCTGGCTCTAAGCAGGTTATAGTCTTCTGAAGTAGTGCTTCGCTCCTCTGAACAGGATAAAATAATTATTAAAATAACCCATGTAAAGAGATTACCACAATGGCTGTCATCAAGTGAATGCTACCAATAATAGCACAGATTATACCAGGTGTGACTGAAAAATACGGTGAATGTTTAAACCTCTAAAAATATTGTGGTAATAAAGCTCTGCCATTAATTCCCTTCACAATACTCTCCCTCAATCTGAACACACTGACCCCAAGTTTTTACTTTCTGAAGCAGTTCTGGAAGTCCTCTTTCCTTTTGTTGAGCTCTCTGGTCTCACTGTCTTTATTTCCTGAACGGATTCAAGCATTTGCTTTTGGAGATCGCTTTGACTTTTGTGGAGTGACAGAAGTTGCACAGTGCCAGATGTGGTAAACAAACTGGTTGAGGACACATCATAATTTTTACAAGTGTGCTATTCTTTTGGCTGGTATGTGGCATTACCATTCACCAAAGTTTTCGATCACACTTTTTAAGGACACTCACAAAAAAAGTGTTCTAGAACCAATTAGTGCTCATGGTCACACTTATTTATAGGCTCAATCTCCACCGAGGAAGAATTTAGATAATTCATTCAATTTTGAAGTGAGAATATTTTTCCTATAATTGAAATAATTTATGCACATATTTTTAAGCTTTGTGTCCACTTAGTATTTTTAATAAGAATATTACCTAAGGAAATTTTTCTTGGCATCATCAATTGCAAAGACACATTTGTGTGAGGCTTTCGCCTAATAATTGTGAGTGTATGGTGGTTCTTCTTCCTCAGGGAAATTATATGACATGGCAAATAGATAGATTTAGAGTGATCTGGATTTGAATTCTACTCTAAATTCTCATTTAAATTTCTCAGCTGTTTATTTGGACCAATTCTACTCTTGGTAAGATAAATCGACTGGGCCTTACCTTAACACTTTAGATGCAATAATTATGTAATAATCATGGTGATTATTGAGCTTAACTTTGAATTCCAGTTCTAATGTTTTTTCCTTACTATCAATTTTGTTTTTCAGTTCTAAGTTGAAATTGTCTCCATCCATCCATTCATCCCCTTCCCATTTTATTCTCAAACATTGCATAGCATTTTATATAAGCACTGTTCTAATTTTTGGAGTGTTGAGAAGAGAGACATTGTCTAGTGCAAAAATCAGAGTTGTTCATAAGGGAAACATTGTCTAGTGAGAAAATTGGAGTTGTTCATAAAATGTGAGAAGGCCTAAGAAAAAGAAAATGAGTCAGCCTGGTGGATACTCTGAGAGGCTTCAAGGATAATAAACAGGAAAGAGTGTGGTGGTTTTTGGAGGATGATAGGGTGCGGACAAAGAATATGGCACATGAAAAGAGAAAGACAGAACCTCAAACCTGAATAGTAAATAGTTCATTCACAGGAGAACTGCTCCTTTTTTTGTCTTGTTCCCTTCCTGGACAAATATTATATTCACCATATGAGCCTGTTGTTCTATTTACCTGTTCAAATTTTGAAGGAAATCAAACATATCATCCATTATTCTAAATCTCTAACCTCTTTGCATATGCCCTTCCACTGCCATATAATTTGATGCTTCCCAGGGAATGTCTGCCTTGTGAGTATTTCCTTAACTCCAGGGGTTCAGATTTTCATCATTTCTTATCTACCTCAAAATTCCACACTTCAAGTATTGGCAGGCATATTTTCCTTTTTTTAAAAAATCAAAGTTATGTTTTAGCTACTAGGTTCTGAGAAAGGGTTCTTATAGGGTTCGCTTACTGATTAGAAAAACTCAAATTAACTGGATAATCTCTGATACAGAAATCCATGTTAAAAAC